TAATAATAATAATAATAATAATAATAATAATCCCTAAAAAGAAATATTGATTTAATTCGATAAATGGTTGGATTTTAAAGAAACTATATAACAAAAATAAAACAATAGCAATTTAATAAACTCGTTGTATTAAACTTATTTAAACCCAATTTTGAAATATTTAAGATTTGTCTCTCAATGTATTAAATTTTTATTATTAAAAAAAAAAATCCTCAAATTTTGAAAATGTTTTCAAAATTTAAGTCCAATTTCTTAAACTAAAACAAAAAGGCTACAATTTTGATAAATACACCTAAAAATAATAATTTGAGAAAAGAAATTAACAAAAAAAAAAAATTATAATACGTAAAATTTCTCTTTTGGATGTCGATCTATTAAGAGGAAACCAAATATGGTAGAAATGTGCTATAGGCTGAGATTACATGAAGGACCTAAAACTCAAGGGTGGCCAATTATTGTCTATCTATTCATCTCTTTTGATTTTGAAGACTACATTGTTGTGGGTCTCTCATACAATATAGACCCCTCCCTCCTCAAGTCATGGAGTTCATTTGTTATCCCATCAACTAATACAACTTACAATGTTTATATGCAAAATTCGACACGAGTCGATGTCTCTGCCGATGGATAGAAATTCGATTCAGTCTCGAGCTGCTTATGCTACTTCTCCCAAAGTTCCTTTTCTGTCAGCTGATAAGGTAGTAGCTTCTTTTTTGGATTCATCGTCCAATCTTTCATTGAAATGGTCTCTCAGAAATTCCACAGCCATAAAAGTTAGAGCAGAGGCTGGAATATACCATGTGATTCTGGGTATGCTACCCCTAAACATCCCCTTTGTTCCTTCACTCCCCCATATACTTCTCACTGCATCTAACCAGCTGTTATACCTGAGGATTTTATGAGAAAGTACCGTATATAAACATCATCTCGAACAACTATCAAGATCGATTAAGCCAATGACACTGGACGTGAAGTGCGGAATTTCTCTAGAAAAAACATATTCGAGCGGGTTGATAATCATCTGATACCTGAAAGTTGATCCCTGAACTTGCATTCTTGTTTTGATCACATCCAAGGGAGTGGTCAGATAAGCACTGAGACCTAGCAATTTCAGACCCATGCATTAGAACACCAACCATACATGCTAAAAATGATATTTTTAAAGAAAAAATGAACTTCAGAACTTAATTATGAACGGTGAAGTGCAGTCAAGATGCATACCACCAGCTAATCCCCCCAACACAAGTCCTTCCAAAGAGCTATTAACATCTGAATTAGGCATCCATCTTTGCTTCCCATGCTCGGTCAAATCTTTTAGCGCCTCATAAAACATGACCTGCAGTGCGATAAAGAAACCTTAATTGATAAACTCATCAAACAGACATCGATAGAGAATCAATATCCCTTTGGAGGGAGAAATATTATTTTCATTAATTTAAAATTGTTTGTTCTTCCCTCTGCTGATCCATTTGTCAGTGAGAAAGTCCACGAGACAAAGTCGATGAAAGCATCAAGAATTTTTTTTTCAACCCATTTAACTTGTGTACAGCATAAAGAACCCCAAGACAAAATAAGTCGAAGGAACAAGACTCAAATAAAGTATACAAGTTAAGCAACGGTGAAATAAATAAATATAAGATTACGACCAAAGGTAAACTTCTATAAAAATTAGCTTCAGTCAGTATACAAGCGTGTGAACACAAGAGGTGTCCTTTTCTAGATTAATCAATTAGCAACTGAGAATTGTGCTATGGATCTGGCATGACAGTAATATCTGCAGATACATAACTGATAAATCAATATAAAACAAAACGATCCAAGAGCAACTAACAGATGAGAAAGGCAGCCAACTCAAACAAAGGTACTCAAATTCCAAATTTATATACCATTAGACCAGCAAACGGCACATCCCTGGCAAGTGTAGACCAATATCTGGCAAGATAAAAGGAGAGCATCAAAATCATGCAGAAGTTATTTTTCACTCTCAGTATACTTTGCTAACGAAATTATGAAAATAAAATAAAAAAGATAAAATCAAATGGTTCAGAGTTCAGACCCTGCATACAATCCTCTTAGTCCTTGTTGCTTCAAGATTGAACGACCAGCCTGGAACATCCCTGAATAATAGCCATACATTTGCCCACCATGCTTCATAGAGATATTATCCTTCATGGGAAGGGAGCTCCAGGATGACCTTGTGCCTTGAACTTGCATCCGTTGCTTCATAACTTCACATGGAACATATACAAATGAACCCAATGTATCACCTGACATGGACAAAGGAAAAAACGAGTCAGAGACCATGTCCGTTTTGGCCCGTTACGTATCGCCATCAGCCTTACGATTTTAAAACGCGTCTGCTGGGGAGAGGTTTCCACACCCTTATAGGGAATGCTTCATTCCTCTCTCTAGCCAATGTGGGACATCACACCATGAAACGTGTAAGCTTGGAACAATGTTTGGTTTACAGTAATTAGCACTGGAGGTTCGGGGCCAACAAATAAAATTATTCGTTGAAAGGAAGTAATTGGATGTGGATGCCTTGGGTCACTGCCTTTGAAAAACGAAATAGGGGAATCCTCATTTATAGATCTGAACAGCGCATTATTCAGACATGAAACATAATCTATACGAGTCCCAAGAGAAAGGGGTAATGAATGAATCTCATTAACTAGTGTAGAATGAAACAAGAAGCGCAAATACACACATCATTATTTCTTTGGTGAATTCATCAACATTGAACTTCGTCAAAAAGGCTACAGTAATGATCATGAGGTGGCATGACTCAAAAGTGAGATAAATCTTTTGGGATATCAAGGATTGATTACCAACTGCTCCAGCAATGAAATGAGCCCAATGACCGCCAAGGCTAGGATGTGTTTCTTCAATCCATTTCTTGCTGGACTCAATGACACCAAAGTATGTAGCTCCAGTGGCAAGTGAGCCAGTAACTCCAGGAGCTATACCCCTATAAAAGCCTAAAAAGCGATTAGATGATGATAAAAAACCAAATAATACAGCAAAGCTAGATGCGTGAACTTATCAAGTAACACAAAAGAGTGTAAAGGGTACCCCTAAATCCGTCAATTTTCCATACTGATTGGACCATCTGCAACAGGCCCTTTTGATTCTGACATAAATGAGATAAATAACCAATTTAGAGTTAGGAAATTCAAAACAAACAAGGTCTTTTGGGGAGGGGCACGAACAATATATCACTAGATGCCGCAGAAAATCCATCATATTAATGATTAAAATAGAATTTAAAATTTTCACCAAGCTGGTATCCTGAAAATAAGATTAAAGTATTTTCATCAACTGACACAATTTATGAGCTCGCCTACGCGTCATACTTGACTTCCATATAGAATAGCCTGGCTTTGAATCCGAGTCTTTATAGTATCAATAGGGTGCATCATTCCTTCTCCAAATGCTCCAGCAATAGCTCCCCATATAAATTCCCTCCATGCTGCAGGAAAATATAGCATATTTGTAATAAAGTATCTATATTCATTTAAATCAAATATATAACAATCACTATGGGTGCTACACGACAAGGAAGCTTATTGTTAACTAAAATTAGCACGTATTCACAATATCCTCTCCAGCACATCGGATATTAGACAAAATCCATGAAGCATTAGGGAATCAAACATTCAAATCTTCAATCTCTATTATTTTACTCATAGTTTTCCATGACGAAAAAGTCGAAAATAATTTTATTCTTATTTCCTACATTTCTCCATGTTCCTACTACTCTGTTGGTGAATTCAATCCAGTAAAGTAAACGATTAAGCCGCTAGTATTCCAGCAAGAACAAAGTAAAAAAAAAAAAACAAAAATGCTCACCAAAGAACTGATTAGAAGTTGCAGTTCTCAAAGCTCGGTCGTTATTGGAAGTTGAGGAGTGGGCCGCCATTCGAAATGCGTAGAGCGAGGTAGAGTTGCTCCAAGTTCTCCGTCTCCACTCTCAGATGGAGATGGCGGGCATTTCCTCCTGTATTGGGCTTCTGGACAGGAAAAGTTAGGGCTTAGTTAAAATTTTAGTTAAATTGTATATGTATGTGTGTGTATATATATATACATATATATATTTATTTGACTAATAGTTAAATTTCCCATCAAATATTGATTTTTTCTAGTAAGTTATTCTCGTTAAATTGAAACAGAATATCGAGTATTTATAATTTAATCCACAAATTATATTTCAGTTTTATTTATTATTTTAATATATAATTTATGGATGAAAATAAACGTTTTATTTAATATTTAAAGCTCAATAATTTACCCCTTTTTATTTATGGCGGGACATTTCAGTGAAAGGAAAATTGCGCGGGTGGGTCGTTGGGCGTCGGTTTTCTCTGTGCTATCCTGTCGCTGCCGCATTTGAATTGCTCGAATTGTGATGCGGCTGAATGGTTTGAACGCCTCGCAGCAACACGTAACATCTCTATTTCTCTGTCGCATGAATCAAACTTTTTCAATTTTACACGAAGCGTTTAGTATCCTCCATCGTCTTCCTAATTAGCTATTGAGATTTAGTATTGGACGGAGAGTCGTTGGACCGTTTTAGCTGACTGTATTGTTGATTAATTGTATTGGTTTGATTCAATTCTTTGATTTGTAGAAATGAACTGTGGAGTTGAGTATGATTCTACTTGTTTTATGCTTTTGTTTTTCTCTGCTTAGTGATTCCTCTTGTTGTATTTTGGTCTATGACAGAAGAGATTGCATCTAGAACAAGCCGCCTCGGGTTGACAATTTCGAGATCCAGTGTTTAAGAAAAAAATGATGCACATTCAAGCGCATTGTCTGGATGGTGCCATTCGGTACGTTTCTTTTGACTCGGGATAGCAATTTACCATTCATCGAACTTTGGTTTGGTTTCTATTTGTTATCAGTTTATTCTGTGCCTTGAAATTTCTTTCAACTTATTAATGCATTAGTGCATGTGAAACGACATATTTAAGCCGCTTTAGTGACTTAAAGGGACGAGGGTGGAGAGAAGTAATACACTGTAATGATATAATTTATTCTTTGGCGGTTGTGCCCTCTCCGCTAGCGGAAGCGGTGCAAATTTGTATAATTGAAAAATAATTTTCATCTAATAATTCTCCTTATGGAATACAAATCTAGTGGAAGTTTTGGTGGAGAACTTGGTGCAGAACCCTTCGAGTTCTCTCGCCAGTGCCGATGGACCACAGTAGAAAACCCCTGTTTAGAACCAAACCACCTTCTCGGTAAGTTGTTTTTTGGTTGAGGGAGGGGGGAGGGGGTTGTCACAGTCAACAAAGTCTTAGTTGAAGGATTAAGGAAAGTCTATTTTTTCTTTGATCTTACCAATTCTTTCTCCTCTGTGCCTCTGAACCAAATTCGAGAAGATGTTTATCCAGTTTGGGCGACCAAAATGAGTGCTTACCTAAAAATTGAAGAGATATAAACATGTCATCATTTCATTTTGAAATTTCAATCAATTGTTAACTCATTTCAGCAAACACTTATTGATAATATCACACAGAAACAACATTGTTCTCTTGAAGGTTTTTCTTATCTAATTGCTTGTATGCAGTAATTAACAATTATTTTGCTATATCTTATCTATTATTTTATGAAAATTTTAAGCAAATAAGAAACGAAGGCAGAGAAATACCCTTTCAGTGTAGTTTTAAGGTAAGACAATTATTTTAGAAGGCTTAAGTCCAACTTTGCGATCTCAAGAATGCAGCATATTTCCCAAAGTAATACATATTATAAACTAATCTAGGAAGTAAGAGATTAGGCAAGCTTGGCTGCTATGTGTACCTATGTTCTTAAGCATTTCACCTTTTAGGAGAAAGGAACACGCATTTTATAGGATTTGATCGATTTAAAACTTGTTACTCAGTTCAGTGGCGTAGCCTACACTACGTGGGTTACTTTCTTTTTAACAGGAAATTATGGGACTTACAGATTCCTCATTCAATTTTTAGACAAGGTAAGGTGGCCGATGGTTTATCTTTCTCTATGGTTCAGGCCGTGTATATGGAAACTTACAGGAGTCTTGGAGACAATGTCGATGCCCCTTCGAGTATAATGTAGGGCTTGAATTGCTCTGATCAAAACAGACCTTACATCATCTTCATGATGTACACTAGTGAGGAAATTGTGCATCTCCACAGCTAACTAAGAGCATTGTAACATAAGAATGGTTTTAAAGATACAAATGTCAGCCAGTATATCTCAAAGCATATTTGCAGAACTAAAGAATTGAGTTACGTTGTTTTTACCTGAGTTTGGTCTGAGTGTGTTAAATCGTTCATGAAGTCTTTAAACCAATCAAAGGAACTTAGCTCTCTCGTAACCCAGTAAAGGTAGGTTTTGGATTTACTTGGGCTGCCTTTTCCATTGTCAGTCTACTCAATTTTAAACCAAATTCAAGCTTTGTTGATGGTAAGTAATGGAAGGAAACTGAGGCAATAAAATCAAGGGAAAAAGGAGTCTTACATGGCCATCACATTTCCCAGTTAACCTGTTTAGAACATCTTTTAGGATGCTCATGAAGGGTGTGGCTCCAATACCCAGGCCAATTAGCACCACATGGTTGTACTTGACATGGTCTTGAGAAGCAGCACCATAGGGTCCATCAATGAATATTTTCGGGTACTCCTTTGAAGCAGAAGTTCCCTAGAAGTCATAAATTTGTATAATTGAGACTGACTTGATTATCCTTCCATTTTACCTCTAGGTAGAGTGTCAGCTCTAAGTTAGAATGCTCAACCTAGTCCTAGAGAATGTATCTAGTCCTTATCATAAAACTCTCTCTTATTTCCTTCATGATTTAAGTTCTCATGAAAAAATTACACTAATTACTTAAAAGAACTAAACAAAAATGAAAGAGATATGATGCTTTTAGAGAATTGTAAAGTTTTATCTTTCCCACCAATCACCCTTCACTCATTACCTCATGAAACAGGCTGTATAGCTCATAACTCCAATCTCCCAGATTTCTGATATGCATGCTGAGGTGGGTATCTTGTGGGGCAGAAGTTAATGAAAACGGGTGCCTAAAAAATGAAGAAGATACTTTATCACATTTTAGTAAGTAAAGAATTAATGAGAATAGCTATTAGAACTTAGAAGACTGAAACTTATTAGGATGTATTACCATTCAAATGGGGAGATTTGAGGGCATTGGATTAATACGTACATCCCACTTCGATACTTGAATCTCTCTGGTTTGCTCAACTTCAGAAATAAAACTTTTCCTGAATAAGTCCTTGCCTTTATATAATACAAAATAAACATACAAATGTTGTTAAATACTCATATTAGAGGTTGCTGTCCTCATCTCGTTTAAATCGGAAGGTAAAATAGGAATACCTTCAAAACTTTTACTTCGTACAAACATGATCTAATCGCTCTATAAATCCTCTCTCCTGTATATAATAGAACTGGAATTGCTATATACATCCAAGTCTTCACAAAAACAAAAAAAAAGAGGAAAAAAGGTTGAACAGATCAGAATCAGCTTTAAAATTTGAGCATCTAGAGAATACTTCGAAGAGAATCTGTGATGCACTTGCGAAATTTAAGCTGAGAAAAGTGGCTTACCGTTTTTTCAGTTGCTTTGTCGGTTAGGAATAGGAATATGGAGTGAACTATGAGTAATGCATATACAAATACGAACAAATGGTGGGAATACCAAAATGTATTATATCCTGTGACATGTTGGATAGACCTTGGAAGTGAGGCTGATTTGCGGCGCGGCCACTTTGTAGCCAGCAAAAATGCAATTGCCATCAATGTGACCATAATAATGCCTGTTAACGTCTCAGTTGTGGACAAGATTTCAAGGTAAGATGGCTGATGGTAGTTGAACCGAGAAGCAATAGTTCGCTGAAAAATTGACTTGTCACAGTTACTAATTCTTGGAAAATCACAAACAAGATGGGTTCCTCCATGTAGGATAACTCCGACTGCAATGCCTCCTGCAACTAACTAGGTTGGAAAAACATATGCATTAGTGTAGTTTGTGGACAAACCAATGAAAATTTAACCAAGTACATACATAGGAGTTGCCAAATTACAGACTTGTTTTTGTTATGCAACCCAAATATAAAATACCGAAGCTTCGTTTACCTTATGGAAATTTAAATTGTCGTTGAAAGGAATGACCGAGTTCAGAGACAAATTTCTACGAAGCCGTGTAATTGTGCTTCGGCAAACAGGGAGCAAGATTAGAGCCATGTTAAATTTCAAAGTCTCTGCTGCTCCCTTGGCAATCGAGAGGCAATAACCCATGACTTCAAACTCCATTCGTCTGCAGTATTGAATGAATTTCCAGTAGAACAATGCAAGGCATATGACCAACCACAAAGCCACCATCCATGCTCGTCTCCATTGAGATCTGAGCAACATTTCAGCCTCACATATCGACTGTTGAAATGGGTCATGGCTATGCCCATTGAGTGAATTTGATGACCGTTTGTTTAGAGGGGAAATAGCTTTAGGGGAGGTTATCTTGAAGAGCTTCTCAAATTGAGGTAGCTGCAATTTACGTAACAGATTAATGTAAAGAAGATTAGTAATACACTGAATATTACTAATCTCAAAGACTATAAAGCATATTAGTTTAACTATAAAGCCTTAGATGACTCGTAATACACTGAATATTTTCTCACCTCTATTGTTGAATTCAATGCATGTATATACACTTACACATGGCTGAACAGAATGAGTTGAATTTACGTCACAATTTTTCCCACCCATACAGGGATCAACATAATGTACCCAGAGACATTTAATATATCCATCACCAAAACGGTAATCCCCCCGCCCCCTTTTGGCATCTTTGAACTCGTTTGATCTGTTTGATGGCAATGCATTTGATACAACAGCAGGATAGAGTATTGGGTAGATAGGACCACCTTATATGACCTTATTATGTGTCTTCGTTTGTTCTTATTTGCTTTTTGGATTAAAAAACTGCTGGGAGTATGGTCGAAGTCTCCTATGTGCTAGATTAGGAGAAAATTATGAATTTATAAATGAGAAAGAAGAACATTATTGGTATGAAGTCTTTTAGGTGAGTTCGAAAGTCAAGACATGACGAGTTGTACTCAAAGGAGAATATTATATCATTGTGGAGATATGTGGAGGCATCAATCATGCCCATGATTTAGTTGGATAAAGAAAATCCTCAAGTGTCAAACAAATAAATAGGTGAGCCTCAAAGAGACATAGTCATGGTTGAAAGATTCACGGTATGCAGAGCAAGGTATACAGAGCAAAGAAATTGGCCTAGATATGAGCTAAGACGGATAGATGACTATTTAAAGAGAAGTTTGGTAGTACTTCATTTAAGGGGTGAATTGTTGGGAGTGTGACCACAGTCTTACATTGGTTGGATAAGGGGAAGATTAAGAGTATAAGTGATTGGTATGATATCTTTTGAGTAAGACCAAAAGTAAAACCATGAGCATTTATGCCCAATGCATATTACTCTTAGAGATACTCAATGTTTCATTGAAAGTCCAAAATAAACCAATGCAGTTGTTCTTGAAATGATATTAGGTAATACATGTTTGGTAATCCCAAGGGATATATTCTCAATCTTTCTCTAACCATTAGGTGCACAATTACTGTTACTTTACTCAAAATGTTACTGAGATTCATTTTGAAGAAAACTAATATGTCTGCTACTTGATAATTAATACTAGTGAAAGAACTCATGATATGTAGATACTTTTAACGGCGGATCCATAGTTGCTGTTGTTTAAATAAGATGAAATTTATCTTAAATCTGAAGGAAAACAATATCGAAACATATAATAATACCTCAATGTAGCCCTGCTTTCCTTCATCTAGTACTTCCATGACTAAAGCAGCATAATCTTCTCCTTCTTCATGGGTCACAGATAACTTATTGGTACTAGCAGTTAACAGTATTATCTGAAAGTCCCAAATTTATTATAATGTTAACACCAAAACAAATAAAACCTTATTCTTTCCGACATCCCGAAAAGAAGAGAAATATTGTAAAAGTTCAGAGAGACCTGTTTGATATCTTTCTTAGTTACCCTTCCATCCATATTCCTATCACAACTGAAGGAAATTACACAAACGGGAAAGGTGATCAGTAATAGGATGAATTGGTTTTACATTTATTGCCAAATAAAAAGGCAAAGAATTGAGAATTAGGGGATATTAGTTTTTACAGGTCAAATAGAATTCTTGTTCTTGAATTAACATTCGAATGACTCAACCGGCACCAGAGATTATGAAATTCACTTTTGGTGATTTCTATTTGCCAATCTTTTCTTCTTCTTAGCGCCCTCAACAGTTCGTAAGCAAATTCCTCGGACTCTGACATTCCTACTCGAAAGATGGTGATGGAAGAGATAAATGGTTAATACATAAATTCATTTATTAAGAAAAAACACTTCTGTCTTGAATAGTTCAAATGCTTGACTATGTTTGTAAAATTTAAAATATATTTATGAACAATTGACACAATTTAGCTTTTCTCATGAATGAAGTGATCTAAATTAGTTATGTGATGCTTTCCTGATTACTTTGTTGCTTTTCCGACGTTAGAGTTTGACTGATGAATGTTGATTCAAATAATTTCTTATTAACCTAGAGTCTCTGAGTTTTTGATATCTCATTTTTCTCATTGTCTTTGATTGTTGGGAAGAGGGAAGAACTAGAAATTAGAACAAAAAAAAAAAAAACAGAGAGAACCGTGTTGCTTAGCATCTCACCTATACAGAAGGCAAAATTAGACCACTTCACGGCTGGTTCAGATCCAACACTGGTCCAAGACAGCTGATCGAACCGCTTCTCTGCCAATTTCCATTCACTTCCATTGTCACAAAGAAAGTCAATAAATCGCAGTCGTGGAGCATACCACGATCTGTCCTCATTCTGACCTGAAAAACTAAATGTGTCATTTTGGAAAGAAGGGGATGAGCGGGACGAAGAAGTGGATGATGACGATAAAGAAGGAGAGAGAGCAAAGGCAGCTGAGAGAGAGAGTCTCTGCTCTGTCTGTCTCTCCAAATGAATTTCCATTGATAGGACTCTCCTCTAATCTGGGCAGGTTCAGTATTTTCATTCAAAACTGAAAAAATGTATCCATTTCTCCCCTTCTCTTCAAGAAAACTTAGCTGTACTGCCCCTGCAAATCCGAAGGAAAATGAATGCGGGCTAGTTTATGAATGGAAGCTGAAGTTGGTGGTGAGAAATAAGTCATACATTGGGACTAACACATGAAGTTGTATTCCATGTTTGCTTCCTTATTTTCATTGACAAGTTTGTGGTTGAAATATTGGGGCAGTTGAGAATATATATAGAAAAGGACAATGGAAGGTTGAGCATATGTACATTTGGTGGCGTATTGGTTTGATTGAAATGTGTGAATGATTAGAGATAAATAATTAAAGGAAGGGAAGAAGGTTTTGTTGGGTGGATTAGGAGAGAAAGTGATGCTGAGGCAGGTTAATCATTGGATTTCGAATATGAGATGGATGCAAACGAAAGGGATCATGTGGTTTGTTTCTGCATGCAAGAGGAGAGAGAAAGGAAGTTGACGTTTAGCAGCCATTGGATAATTATTTTTTAGTTTGGTATCTTCTTTCTTCCTGTTCTTTCATGGCGGGCGGACGGCTGTAAGTAGTACTGTGTGTGCTGCTGCGGGGTGACTCACTCTCTCTCCCCTCTTATAGATATCCTTTTTATACAAGGTATGATTTTTTTTATAAGGATAGTTTATCTTCTATATTTTCTCATGGTTAATCTATGCCTTCATGCATGTGCATTCTCTCTCTCTCTTTCATTTAAAATATCTAAACTTCTCTAGATAATTATTTAGTTTTAATTTTTTTGTTTTGTTAATTACTTGCGTTTTACCTATGCTTTAACTTGAATTTCAAATTTATTGGTAAAAAATAGATTAGAAAGCAAAGAAGTTTATAGGGTAATTAGTATTTATAAATATATTTTTTTAAATTAAATAATTATCAAAAGAAAGTTTAGATATTTGATTTTGTTCTTGGACATGTGAGTCTTACATATGGTACACATGCATGTATGCATATGCAGCAGCCACAGTGATGGGCATTTCTGATCATTTGATAATTCAGTATCCAATGATCTATTGAGTTCTCAGATTTACTGAGTTTGGAGAAAAAAAGTGGGTGTGATGTGCAGTTAGATTTACTGAACTAGGCAACCAGACGGTTGTTGAATTGCTTTCGACCTGTTTCGGTTGAAGTGGGTGAGTGTATTTTTGTGTTGAGAATTTTCTCAGATTTGATTTTTATGATCTAATTAGAACAATCAGCTCAGCTCAGCTCACTTTAAAGTGAAACTTTCCAAAATTCTCCTATTATTAGTTTAGGGTGGCGTGTAGGGAAGAAGAAGGTGGGCTAAATTGACCGTGATGGGTAACTTCTTAAGCCCTCTGGAAAATGGGTAACAGCCATTTTTATAGTAAAACAAAAATTCAAAGAGAATGTGTTTTGAAATATATATTTAATATAGTGTTGACCATTGGGCAATGCTAAAAGCCAGAAATTAATCAAATGCCATGATGCAGAAGAAAATGTGTGATCAAATTTAAAGGTTTTTCATGAAGTTAACATCTTAGCCTCACCAATACGACGTTTAGTAGATTAGAACTCATTCTATTTTATTCTTAGATTAGGTTTAGTAGTTCATAAATAGTTAACTCTTTACCTTTACGTTAGGTCTAGCCGGTTGAAATTTATTCTATTTTATTCTTGATAGTATAAAACTTAAAATTTGCCATTCATTCTTAGTTTAATACCAACTTTTATTTGACTTGAGAATTAAATAATAAACATTTTCATATAAAAAAAAAAAATCATGTATGAATATGCTTTTCAAATTTTGGAGGAAAGCGTTCGACTACCAATATGAACCACTTTTATTTATATATATATATATATATATGAGATTTTACAATAATGTCTTTGATTAATTTTGTGCAATTTTTTAATTTGGTTTACATGTGAGTATTACCCCCAAAATTTCCCTTAAGCAGTTCATGAAGTAGTACAATGTCTAACTAAGAGCAGTTTAGGTAGAATTTTAGGTTTAGTTTATGATGTGAAATTTTCATACATTTGAATTTATTAATATAAAATTTTCAATATTATTTATGGATAAACTAGTATATCGATTGAAAATTTAAAAAATGCTCAAATAAGTAAAGTTTGTAAGGATAAACTTAAATTAACTCGATTTTATCTAAATTAATTTTAGGTTAATCTATAAATCAACCTTCAGTTAAATTATTAAACTATACCTGAGTTTAAAAGGCCACTCTTTTTTTTTTTTTTTTTTTTTTTTTTTTTTTTTTTTTTTTTTTTTTTTTTAATTTTAACAATACTGGAAAGTGAAGCTTCAAACAGGATACGATCAATTTCGTAGACAATTAAAATAATTTTATCCTCTAATGTCTTTTGACAATGAATGGGTAAAAATCCGTGAATAGTAACGTTCTTAAAATATTCTTCTCCAAAGGCAGGGCGAACTTTGAGCGTGGCGCAAGCTTTTTTTCCATCAGCTGTTTGGTTATTCTTGCAAAAGCGAGCGAATTTCACAGATCCAGAGAAGTGAGACACAGCTTGGTAAATTTCTGTTCGACAGTCTGCTACTGAATTGTAATAGGATTACGAGTATTCCATTTCTGATCGTTGGCCTCTATGTTTCACATTTTTCATTCAATGAATCTCATTGGGTTACCTCCGCATATGCATTTTGCTTTGTTTTTGTTCATTTTCGCCCACCCACGTTTTGTTTTCCTCTGGAGACTGTTTATTCGTTTGGTTTCTCGAGTAAATTTGAAGAATCCCGTGGAAAGGAAAGATTTATACCGGGGATTGTTTAATGTTTGAAGTTGGTTAGAAATTTATCTTCCTGCCCTTTTTCTTCTTGCTTTTCGTGGCTTCGTTTTGGATTTTTAATGGCAAATATATGTTTCCTTTTAGATTTTTCTGAGTTCATGCGGATCTAGGTTTCTTAAGTTATAAGATATGCATATATCATATATTATTGTGTTGGTTGATGATATAGAGACAAGGGTGTGTTCGCTTGATGGATTTTCTTTGATTTATCGAATTCTGAACTGGGTAAGTGCTGGAGTGTATGTGTCGACCAGGTTCACTGATTTGGATACTTTGTTTTGTTCATAGCAGACGGATAATTGATGGACAGTTTATTGAGTGCACGAATCAAACCATTACCTACTCATTCTAGACAAATTCACTCAACTATTCGACCCACGTTGTTATTGCAATTTTCTAGAAGATTGGGTAAAAGTCAAATGGAGATGGGGAGATGTCGCACGTCATTTAATTCAATTGCCGCTTCAGTTCAGCCTATAGAAGGCTCTGCACTTTCTCAATTCAACAACACATTGCCATCCAAAGGTCACTACAAATTTCTGGAATATATTGTCCTATGTCAATGTCTGTACTATCTACTTTGTAGGGATGGAATCTGATCAACTTGATAATATCTTTTTGGTAGCAGCCCTACATGGTTTAGACGTCGGTGGTTGACAATATAGATGGAAGGGATCGTCTTTTCTTTTAGCTCTCCTTTTATTTTTATTTTTATTTTTTTTGGGGGGGTGGTCAAAAAGAACTGCCAAGGGAAATTTTGTTATTTCAGCAGTGAAATCACTATATATGAGTTCGGATGGAAATTTTAAAAAGAGATGGTGCTCACTGCTGACTTGCTTTACCCAATGATCAAACTTTGTTGTTCTTGAGTTCCTCAACTCAATCGAGATATTCTTTCATCTCACTCAGTTGGTAATTGTTCTCTCATATTTTACTATCTATCAGAGGTGTTGGAGCTGTGGAAAAGTGCAAATGCAGTATGCTTCGATGTTGATAGCACAGTTTGTGTAGATGAGGGCATTGATGAATTAGCAGATTTCTGTGGAGCTGGAGAGGCTGTTGCAGAATGGACTGCTAGGTTTGATTTGATTGTTTCTTACACGATTTACTTGGCCTCCTTGGATTTTCATTTAACTGAGATTTGTATGTCCTCCGCAGGGCAATGGGTGGCTCTGTTCCATTTGAGGTTGCTTTGGCTGCTAGGCTATCTTTGTTTAACCCTTCACTTTCCCAAGTTGAGGAATTTCTCGCTAAGAGACCTCCAAGGTATGGGGTTGTTTTCCATGTGCATTAACTTTTTCCAAAAATAGGGATGTTGCTCATACATGACTATAGAACAGACTAAAACGCTTCCTGTTTATAAGACTTAAAAAATTTGTAAAAAATGCTAATACTTGGTTCATGGCATCCATTGCCGTCCCTGCTTTTCTGGCTACATCAAATGATGATTTGTTTTATCATATTCCTTTCTGATTTGTTCTTAATGTAATGCAGGATGCTTATTTTACATTTTTATTTTGTAGATAGCTACTCTTTAGATCACTAATGTTCTTAATATGGGACCATTAAGCTCCAATGGCACCCAGATATTGTTTAATATATTAACAGCAGCAAGTTTGTTTGTCTAAATTTTTTTATTTGAACAGCCGCCCGTTTGGATGGTAAACAAAACATGAAAACTTTTCATTGAATGTGAAGTTTATTTTTATTTTCATTTTTTACTTTAACTATATTTGGAGGTGGGGGGATTCGAACCTATGACCTCTTGGTCTTTGAGTGTGAAGTATTTTATGTGTTAATTCTTTAAACAAGAGTTTCCATTTTCTGTAAAATATTTGAAAACAGCATTAGATCATCTGTGCTCCTAATCTTCCAGCTGACTCATAAAAGATGGATTGTTGCTCTTCAGGCTTTCTCCAGGTATAGATGAATTAGTCAAAAAGCTAAAAGCTAACAACATTGACGTATATCTGATTTCCGGAGGTTTTCGTCAAATGATCAATGTAAGTATATGATTAATTGTAGTGAGCCTCTCATATTTCATGAAGAACTAACTACTAATGTTAGTTATTGGAAAATTAATGAGGAATTGATGTTTATTATTATTAATCAACGAGCTACTTTGTGTGAAGCCTGTTGCATCAATTCTTGGGATTCCCCATGAGAATATTTTTGCCAACCAATTGCTTTTCGGAAGCAAGGGTGAATTCATTGGGTTCGACGAAAATGAGCCTACTTCAAGGAGTGGGGGGAAAGCAACTGCAGTGCAACAACTGAGGAAGGTAGAATCATTGCTTTTGGTAAGACGTGCTGTTGATTTTCGAATGCAAATTTGATTCGGGTGGTTTTGCAGGCTCGTGGATACAAGACGTTGGTCATGACCGGGGATGGTGCAACTGATCTTGAGGTGAAAAGTGACATTTGAGTCTCAAAACGTGAATTACAACAATTGTTTTTCTTATAAAATATCTTAAATTGCTAAACAGTCATAGTTACGTATTCCTAGCTAATCCTTCGTTGGCAAATTGTTACGAACCACAACTCTCCACAATGATATGGTATTGTCCACGAGCATAAGCCCTCGTGGCTTTGCTTTTGATTTGTTGATTTCCCTAAAAGGCCTCGTACCAATGGAGATGTATTCCTTACTTATAAACGCATGATCAT